GAAAAAAAAAAAAGTGGTATGATTAGTTGTTAGTGGTTATATTAAAATAATATTTAAAATAAATAATTAAGTTGATTTGATGTAAAAGTAGGAGAAAAATGATTGGAAGTAGTGATTAGTTAAAATTATGTGAGTGGATAAATAATGAATATTAAAGTTGATGCAATATGTAAAAATGATTGTTTGATATTTTTTACTTATATTGATAATATGAAAGATAGTGAAATTGCGTTAAAATTGGGTTAAATTTGAGTTTTGACTGATTTTTTTTACTAGAGTTTATATCCAATCACACCCTTGGTATTTCGATTTTTCCCCTTAAACTCGATCAAGTTTTTGGCGTTCCGGCTCACACCAAAGTTCAATTTTTGGGATGTTTGGATATAAATTTTCTAAAAAGAATTCAATCATTTTTAATTAATCACAAATTTTAATCCAAATCTAACTCAATTTTAACTCACTACCTCAACAACAATGCAACTCAATCATTTCTATAACTTTAATTCATTGTTCATCCAAGACACATAATTTTAACTAATCATCACTCCACATTATATCTCTCATACTTTTACATCAAATTAACTTTAATTATTTTATTTTTAGATATTATTTTAATATAAATTCTAAATTTCACTGATTACTAACCATTAGACAGGACCAAAACCCGGGTTGGATTTCATGGATGCTAAACCGGCAAGGACTTAGGGTCGTGTCGGGTCCACGGTCGTGGTCAGGTTCCGCCCAGATAAAAAAATTAGAAAACAATGTGTTTTCCCGGATCGGGCCCGGCCCAGCCTGACGGGTCGTGGTCGACAAAAATAAGACCCTGGATCGGCCCGTTTGAAATTCGAGCCGAGCTTGAACCCGTGGTCAACGAGTTTGAAATCACAAGAATTAGTTGAAATTACAGCAATGGTCGCAAAGTTATTAGAACACATCCAATACTTCAAATCGACTGTTCTCAAGTTATCCCAGAAAAAAACTATTATGGCTATGTTTGGTAAAACTAGCTGATAAGCTAGCTGATAGCTGATAAGCTAGCTTATAGCTTATCAGTAATTTTTTAGCTTATAGCTTATAGCTTATGACTTATAGCTGATAAGCTAGCTTATATGTAAAAGTGTTTGGTAAAATTAGCTGATAAGCTAGCTGGAATAAAAAATTTCAACTAGCTTATTTGAAAAGTTACCTAATGAAGCTTATTAAATAAGCTCGAGCTTTTTATATAAGCTCGTCCTACCAAACGAGACTTATTTAAATACAAGGAGCTTATAAGCTAATCAAATAAGCTATAAGCTAGCTTATTGGTCTACCAAACATAGTAAAATCACTTATTTGGGATTAGTTTTCTGCTACCCTAACAAAGATTAATAAATTTTCGTTTTTATTGAAATTTAAAAATAAAATTAATCTAAAAAATTATCTTCTCCTACGGAATTTTCTTTCAACTAAGTTATGTTTTTCCTCTCGTCACTACAAAAAAAAAAATAAAAAAAAAAAAATAAACTCTTACATTCCAACGGAAATTTTCCGTTGGAATTCTTTATGTTTTCCGTTGGAATTGTATTCCAACGAATATTCATACGTATAAAAAATCGTGGTAAAAACGACCGTTGGAATAGCTAAAATCCAACGGAAAATCCTATGGAAATAAATTCCTACAACTATTCTAACGGAAAAAATCCGTTGGAATTCCTCAATGATTCAACACTTATTCCAACATAAAATTAAGTTTGTTGGAATATTCATTGGAATTTCTAACGGAAATTTTTGCCGTTGGAATTTTCCGTTGGAATTGAAATATTTTCCTGCGTACAGATCCAATTCTTAAAGACATACTATGTATATTTTTATTAAAATAGTATTTATTTATGTAGCAATTTCTCTAAGGCATAGTATTAAATATCTTGTACCAAAATGATTTTCTTGTTCATTTTTGTGTCAAACTATGGGTTTTATGATATCAACCCAAAATATGAAACAAGTAATCCAACAAAAATAAAATAAAAATACATGGTAGCAGCCCAAAATAATAATAATAATAAAAAAAAAAACTAACCCAACACATTTTTATCCAAAACAAAGATAATAACAAGCCCAACAAGCTCTTCAACCAACCCATTACAAAGAAACGTTGACAAATTCGGCCCAACACATATCAACGAACCCAAATAAGAAAAGTTTACAATTAGCCCAACAAACATATTAACTAGCCCAAATTAGAAAAAGAACTAGAGTTTAAGGACACCGTGTACCCATTTTAAATCATTTATTACCTTTTAAGATCCTGTATTCCATTAAAAATGCTGCGTCATGGTAAAGGCAAAAATGGCTTTCTATTTTTTAATAGATCAATTTAGGCAGAGCAATTTTTTTTATTTTTTTTTCTTTCTTTCTTTTTTATCCATTCTGATATAGACACATTCGCGTAGACTGGATTAAGCATTGAGAGCTCGACCAAATCATATGTCGACCCTGTCACGTCGACTCGAGACCAAAGTCTAAGGATATATGCTATTGGAGGAACCAAACCAGTGAAGCCTTGCCGAATATGTGCCACCACCGATCATGATACCGGCTCTTCCCGTGATAGAAAATGAAATCGAGGCACATACAAATGCGGTCGGTACAAATGGTAACTTTCCCACGAAGCAGCAATATGATCCATTCTCGAGTACGTATAATCCGGGTTGGCGCGATCACCCAAACTTGAGGCATATCAACACAACTTGCCTAGTTTGTGCAAGTGACTTATCCTTTTAGGCTGTGGGGACCGGTTTTGGGCAGCGACCCCTTTCACACTAGTGCTTAGTAGTGATCGGCAAAGAGGATACCTAGCTTCTGGTCGATGTGGGGAGCTAACGTCATAGATGGAGGAAGAGCTCGAGAGGATGTTTAGCAGGTTGATTAGGACCGGGGGGCCTCCTTGCTACACTACAAATAAATTGTTATACTACAACAGAAAGTCCTATGGTAATTTATTCCAAT